AATGTCGCTTATTTAAATTGTGTTCACTCCATAACACTGAATCTCGTCACAGCACATGATCTGCGTGTACGGCAAGTCCTCGCTTAAGTGCTCACACGCATTTTCACAAAAATGCAGTTCTTTCATTAGGGAACACGGCAACACGTTTAGCACAATGTGGAACGAGCCCATATTAACACAGAATGTGCACCATTATAACGCAGTTTCTGAGTGGTCGACGACAGAATACTTTCTTGAGCTGCGCAGCTGAGTGGTACAGTGATACAGCACACAGAATTATTCAGCAACGCGGTGGCACTCAGTTATTTGTCCTGCCTTCTTAATGTGCGGTGTGCGAAGTACATCATAACTTACCAAACTTTATCGTTATTACATTATTTATGGAAAAATAGTTTTCGCTGAACGTGTTTTTCGCGTAATGCAGAACTTTCCGGAACGCATCTACTCCTACCGTGTTAAACGATGACTTGCTGTATTGTCGTTATTGTTCTCTGCACTTTCGCTCATGTCGTGAGCTTGAATGTTCACTTTTCCCTGCACACTTTGTGCCATTTACCTCCAAACTCTTGAACGAGTTAGTTTTTTTTATTTGGGTGGTCTCATGCCACTTTTTATGTCGACAATTTTAACCTTAATTTTTCTGAAGCTGGTGACATTTTTGATAATGTATTGGGAGTCACCCCTGCTCATGCAATTTCCTACACCCCTGTCCAAACATTAAACGAATTTAGTTTCCAGCCTATCCACGAAAGTAATGTTCTGAAACAACTGTTCTACCTCAAAGGGTCCTCCTCTACCGGAGCGGAGAGTATTTCCGTCTTTGCTCTGCAAACTATTGGTCATCTAAGAAACAAACCTATAGCCCATATTTTCAATCTGTCCATCAAAGAAGCATCAGTACCTCTAGAATGGAAACATTAATATGTTCGTTCACTTCACAAAGGGGGCCCTCAAGATGATCCAAATAACTACCGACCTATCTCAATTTTGTCCCCGTTGATGAAAATTTGTGGAAATTTTTTTACTACCAAATTAGAAGTTTCCTGTCCAACAACAATGTATTACATCGAAACCAATCTGGGTTCCGAAAAAAATACAACACCACATCTGCTGCATTATACTCTCTGAATCACATTTACAGTAGCCTTGATAATAAGCAGCACTGCCCCATTCTTTTTCTTGACTTGTCCAAAGCCTTTGATACAGTCGACCACAACACCCTGCTTAGTAAACTAAGTTGCCTCCGTTTCTCCAAACACGCAGTAGAATGGTTAAACAATTACCTCTCTTCTTGCACCCAAACTGTATTCATAGATGGTTGGAGGTCAGTGTTAAGATAACAAAATGGGTTCCACAGGGTTCCATCCTCGGCCCCCTCTTGTTCTCTCTTTATGTCAATGACTTGGGCACTGACCTGGATCATTCCAGGGTAAATCTGTTTGCAGATGACACGATACTGATTACTGCTGGCCGCTCTCCAGATGACGTGATTGCTAAGCTCCAGGGTGATTTCAACAAACTACAACATCAGCTAGTTGCTCTTAAAATAGTCTTGAATACCTCCAAAACCAAGGTGCTATGAGTCTCACCAGGACTAAAGCAGGAAGTTATTTCCCCCCAATTACATTCCTTAAATAATTATCAAATAGAGCAAGTCAAGATCTATAAGTATATTGGGGTCATATTTGATTCAAAACTTAATTTTCAAGATCACATTGATTATATTGGTAAAAAGGCAGAATAAAAAATTGGTTTTCTGTATCGACACAAGCACTGCTTCCCCCCTATGTTCCGCTTGGAATTGATAAAAGCTACTGTACTGCCTCTACTTGATTACTGTGACATCATATATAAATCAGCCCCCAGTACTATACTGAAGAAGCTTGACTCAATTTATCACTCGGCCTTAAGATTTGCACTGAACTGCCCATATAGGACCCACCACATTGGGTCAAACTTAACTTCTCTTAATGATCGGCAGCTTGTGCATCAGATCTTATTTATTCACGATGTACTTACAAAAAAACAGCAGCCTACCTGCTGGATCTCCTTACTGTTTCGAAGAACAAATGTCACCTAAGGTCTTCGCTCATTTTCCAGCTTCACATTCCTTATTGCCGTACAAATACTGGAGGAAGGACCTTTTCTATTGATGCCCCCAGGGTCTGGAATGCTATCGCCAATAAACTGCAACTTGGATCATTGCCTGTGAGATCTTCACTCAAACTGCTCTAGAGGAGTTGTACACCCCTAGCTGCCACTGCTAATCAGAATGGCCTGAAATCAAATGTATCGTTCCGGATGTCCACTGCAAAGTATGATCTTGAGTTTTGATTATAGTGTGCTGATCTTTAAAGGTGTATTGAAAAGTTTTGATACTGCTCCTGATACTCCTGCTGTTATGGAGTGACTCATGCAGCCAGCTATGGCTGCAAAGTTTAGTCATACATGTTATGGATATCGTTTTTTGTTAAATTTGATACACAGTTCCTATGATCGCTGTTACATTGTTTTTATAGCTTTCTTTTGATTTTGAAAACGTTTTGGTTTAGCCATGTTTATTTGTTGTAGTACAGAGTTAGCCTGATAACTTTAATCTAAATTGTCTTATGGTTATTGTTTGACTTGCATCCCACTGGGATTTTTGCACACAGCGTTGGTGTACGGTGTTTTTCTGCAATATTTGTGTTTTTTCTGGAAGACTTTGCTGTTTTTTCCTAGAGTAGACAGTCTGAATGACACACTCCAGGCTTGGAGCGACTATATATCTTGTATTCTCCGCAGGGAATGGATTCTTTGCTCCGCTGCAAGTCTCCTATCCTACTCTCCCAATGACATATTTCGTTGCTTCCTCTTAGTATCTTTCACGCGACGGTCAATGGTACAGTGTATAGCGGATTGTATAATAATAGCATAAAATTGTAATGTTTAATACAATGTACAAAGTAATATATAGTATCGTAATTGTATAGTGAATATACAGCAGTGTGATATACATTAGGGTGAGTAGAATAATACATAGTGTAATATTACAATGTATAGTAATACAGTATATCATTTAATGTTGGGTTTGTCTATGGCAGTATATAGTACGGTGTAGACTCGTGTGATGTAAGAGAATAAAGTTTAGCTGGAAGCATATTATATTTTTTGCGACATAGAATTGTAATGTATTACTTACTGTTAGTAGCTGAGCTTATTGGAGAGTATATTTAGTATACTGATGATACTATGTAGTTTATACTTTATATAAACTACATAGTAGAAAGCTTTAAATCTAAAAATATATAGTTTATACTTTAGTTGTTTACGTGGTGGTTTAGTTACTGCAGCTACATACTATTAACATTCCTTCCCTTTATTAATGTTACTCCTATCTCCTCCCTTTGTTGCTGCTAATCCTGCATAATGCACGGGCATAATGACTTTAAACCCCCCGCCAAACCTCCTACGCATTTCACAAGAAGTACTAATCGCATATCTGCATTTGCCATGAATATGCTAAATTCCTCTTGATATGCAAATTCTTTTGTCAAGGCCTCCTTCCCCCCTCCATCCCAGCTTAAATAGTCGCTCCAAGCCTGGAGTGTGTCATTCAGACTCTCTCTAGTCGACAGACCTGCTCTCCACCTGAGGACGGCTGCTTGCGTTGTGGCCGAAATGTCGTGAGAATTATTTTATTATGTTTTATCTTTATTATTTTATTATTTCCATTTTACGTGACTTTACCGAAAGAACCAAGAAGATACGTTAAATAACTTTATAACATGACTGTTTCTATATTTATTTCCCCATAAATCTCTCTCTCTCTCAACCTCTCCTCATCTCTTAATTCATAATGCTCCCCCTTCTAGCCTCCCATCCCTCTCTATCGGTCTCCGTCTATCTCTCTGTATGTCCTCGTCCACATCCCCCATCCCTATCTATGTATGTAACTCATTAACTTGCCATTAAATACAAATATAGTGACCAAAAAGAAAGTCAGGGCACATAGTATGTAAGTATGTTGAACTTATTTAGTATTGTAAATAGCCAACCGTGCTGATTTAAGGGCAGGGGAAGAAGAAACAAAACATAAATAGCAGTACTAAAGAAATTTTCAATCTAGGTTTAAAAGTCCACAACTCCAGTGGCTTCCTAATATCAGAAGGATGAGCGTTCCATACGGCCACTGCAGTGTACAATTGTGTATCATCAGTATATTGATGGAACTTGATGTTATGTGATGAGATACATCGGCGATCGGAGAGATATATTTTGAAAATAGGGAGGGGCCCGAGGACGGACCCCTGTGGTATGCCAACTAGGCACGGCATAGGCGATGAATGATTGCTTCCCAGCTTGGTGAACTGATCGACCATGTTGGTATGCTTCAATCGACTCTAGTGCTGTACTCGATACACCGAACCTTGACCTTAGGCACCAAATGAGTGTCTCATGGTCAATGGTATCGAAGGTGGCTGAGAGATCGATGCCAACCAATGCTGCGGCACACTAGTCATCCATGATCTTCTCGAGGTCATCAGTGATCTTTAGTAAAGCTGTCTCAGTGCTTTGGAGCTTCCGGAATCCTGACTGCAGTGGGTGTAATCTGCCCATCGCAGTAATATGGGGAAGTAACCGCTTCAAACACAGGCGCTCAATGACCTTTGACATCGTACTCAGATTTAAGATCTGGCAATAATTAGCGGGGTCACTATGGCTCAAGCCAAATTTCTCAGGAGCAGTGTTACCCGTGTCATTTTGAATCGGTGTGGGAAACAGCCCTCACTGAACGAAATATTTGCGAGGCGCACAATCAGCGGTGCAAGCACATCTGAGCATTATTTTTTTTTATCTACGTGTCGATGTAGTCAAGCGGTGATGTCTCATTTTGCAGCTGTGGGTTGAACATCGACACCTTTGTCACCGACGTTGGTGTCAAGGTCTCAAGTTTTGAATCGGTTCCAGGTTGCTCAAACTCAGATGGCAGACGGGAGAATGCAAGTTGGAGAATGCCGTATTGATCATCACTATTTTATTGTCGAAGAACATCACAACTACTGTGCACAAACCGGGTTTACTAATTGATGGGTGGTTGCAGTGCAGCATACCCTTCACGACGCGCCAGAGCAAAGGAGTCGTGAGCCGACTCATTGACGTGCAGAGCATAGGGCGATCTGTGAGACTCAATGAGTCAGACAGTCTTGAAATAAAATTTTACTCCAATCTCATCTGCATCTGCTTTCGGAGGCGATCGCCTCCGGTGACAGCTGGTTACTGCACGCTTTCCCCGTTCTCTTTGTGCTTGTTCGGAGGGGCACTAGTTTATCAAAAACAGCAGTGATGTAATTTTCTAATCGAGTTGCAAATTAATCTAGGCATCTCCGTCTCTCTCTATACCTCCTCATCCACATCTCCCATCTCTCCCTCTCTCTACGTGTGAACGTGCGAGCTCTGGTGCTCCCGGAGGGCGCTGGCGCGTGCGAACCTGCAGCCGCACTGGGCGCACGCGTACTGGGGCCGGCGCTGCCCGGCGTGGGCGCGCGCGTGCGCCCGCAGGTTGGAGCTGCTGGTGAACGCGCGGCCGCACTGCGCGCACACGTGCGGCCGCTCGCCTGTGTGCGTGCGCGCGTGCTTGCGTAGTGTGGACACCGCCGCGAATGCGCGGCCGCACTCGGTGCAGACGTGCGGCCGCTCGCCCGTGTGGGTGCGCGCATGCTGGGCCAGCTCGCGGACGCTCAGGAAGCGTCGGCCGCACTCGGAGCATGCGTGGGGCTTGTCTTTGTCCTCTGTCACAGACGGGGGGAGCGGAGCGAGACGAGAGGGGAGAGGTAGGGCCGTGCACGGGGGGGGTTAGTGCGATGAGGGGGGTGGTGAGAGGATGATCAGGTAGGGACAAAGAGGTTGGCAGAGAGGAAGATGACAGCGAAAGACGGAGGAAAAAACTATTATAAATCCTGATTGAGGGACATCTTTGAAGACAATATTGTATTCGATATTTCTCCCTCCTTGCTCCACTCCACATAAAGACCCAACACTGCCCATAGACCCAACACTGCCCATAGACCCAACCCTGCACATAGACTCAACATTTCCCCTGTACATGAAGCAGTAACTTTCTTTCTTTCCTTTATTTAAGTCTCACCTCTTCTCCATTGCCCACATCATAATTTTGCACGTTCTGCGTTGTGTGAAAAAAATTCCCGAATGGAAGAACCGCGTTATAGCGAAAACGCGCCATGTAAACATAATGCGTCAAGCGAGGACTTGCGTATCTGCACTCTTAGATGTTTTGTGACATTACCAATAAATTATATAAGCCGTCGTCGTTGTTGACCAATCTGGATATTTCCAATGTCACGGCAGTCAAACACAAAACCGCCACGCACCTAGGAACCCGAAGTCGCAGCCAACAGCAGCAGTAGCAACCAATCAGAAAACAGGGGAAGCAAGCGGAAAACAAGCAGCAAGCGGCAGCAGCAGAGTGCTCACCGGTGTGCCGCTTAAGATGCTGCTTCAGGTTTGCGGCATGCGGGAACGCCTTGCCGCACAACTCGCAGACGTGTGGGCGGTCACCCGAATGAGTGCTCTGGTGCTTGCGCAGCGTGGAGTGGTGTGAGAAGGCCTTGCCGCACAGCTCACACACGAAGGGCCGCTCGCCGGTATGCGTCGTCTGGTGCCGCTGCCGGCTCTGGTTGTCGAAGAAGGTAGCGCAGCAGCGCTCGCATGCAAATCGGCGCTCCTTCACGAGCCCCGCCACTCGCTCTGAGGTCAGAATCAGAAATTTCGATCAATTAGACTGCAGGAGGAGGAGGAATCGTATGGAGGGGTCAACAAGTTACGACAAGAATAAAAAAAGCTATAGGAGTGTAAAGTAGCGAAAAGGTAAGCAAGTCACAAAAAATGTATATATACAACTAGATTAACTACATAATTACAAATTGAATAAGTACATAATTCCTGCCGATTTTTTTTTTTATACAAAATGCAAGCTTGGACAAGGCAGCAAAACAACAATAAAATAATTCCCAGACAACACACAGTCCTTCAATAAAATGGCACGTAAAAACGTAACTATCGAAACACGGGTATAGATCACACAGCTATAGGTTGCATGTGACACGCGAGATGGGTGCGAGACGAGACGAACATGGCAGACGCAAACACAGCAGGGGAAGCTACGAGATAGGGGACACCCACTGCCCTCTCTCACCTAACACCGTATAATGGCATTGTTCGTTCTGTATCTTTTTTCAGTGTAACAGCCATCTTTCCATCCTGAAACCTCGCCCGCCAAAGCATGCCAACCTGACTCATCTCTTTCCCTTCCCTATCATCAACCCCTCTACTCCTTCCCATCCCTCCCCTGCACTTTGGTGACCCCATGTGCCCTCTGTAACGGTCACTCATTCCTCGGCCCTTGCACTGTCCTTGCCATCTAAATAACTTTCTTACCGATTTTGAACTATGTAAAGCGCCTTCATCTAAGTCGCCCTATAAATATAACATAAGATTAATAACCCCATCGACCAGATGGGTGCCTCAATAGTTGTCATCAGCTCACAATCAAAGACATTTGCGAGTTAAAATACTCGTTTTGTAATTGACTCCGCACAAGATCCCTGTCAGTTCAATAAAGTTGGTACCATTTCGTGGGAAAGTCAACAGTGATTGTCGTATGGAGAGATTTGCCCCCACTCTTATAAAAAATATAGATGTTTCACCACTGGCCCAGGACTGTAGAGAGATGATAACTGCCTGACTGCTCATTTGAGCAGGGCATCACATTGTCTTTGATTATCGAATACCGTGCTTTGTATTGTCATTTTAACAAATGTTTATCTCCATTGTAACATTGGCGTCACGTCCAAACAGAAATAACCAATTTGGATCTCTCGCAGAGTAGTATGTCACCGTGTGTTAAAGAACCCACAAAAATGGATATCAAAGAGCCACCTCTGAGATCCCATTCAGTGACCTCATGTCCACATACGCAGTACTCTCCCACTCACTCTGCAAATGAGTGAGGTTTGTCGCATTGCAGTCAAACCAATATCACTAATTCTCAGAACTGGAATTTCAACAAGTTGTCATGGTTTTTCACGCAGTCACAAATAAAATCATCTTGAAATTGAGCCAGGGCCTCCCAGACATTTCACAGCCAGCTTTATGCATAAGTGGACCGCGCAAACCTTGTGGATACCATTGGCCTCCTGTCACTCGTAATGGACAAGTTACCCAGGATCCCACAACCCTGGTGAGCAAATACAACCTCGCACCGTGCCCGTTCGCGCTGTCCATGCCCTCACCCGCGTGCGTCTTCTCGTGCTTTCGCAGGAAGGCGCGGTGCGAAAACGCCTTCCCGCACGTGGCGCAGGCATGCGGCTTCTCGGCCGAGTGCCGCCCCTGATGCTTCTGGAGCGACGTAAGCTGTGAGAAGGCGCGGCCGCATGCGGCGCACACGTAGGGCCGCTCGCCTGTGTGCACCCGCCTGTGCTTGACGAGCGACGACGCCACGGAGAACGAGCGCCCGCACGCGGCGCATGCATAGGGACGCTCGCCCGTGTGGGTGCGCGCGTGCTTGGTGAGGCTGGAGCGCAGCGCGAAGGCCTTGCCGCATGCGGTGCAGGCGTAGGGCCGCTCCCCTGTGTGGGTGCGCGAGTGGCGCCGCAGGTCACGCGACTCGGCGAAGCAACGGCCGCACTGCGGGCACGCGTGGCGCTTCTCCTTGGCACGAGCTGCAGTGGCAAGGAGACGGGAGAGAGAGGGAATGTAGGGAGGAGTTTGTGTGGCAATTACAATAACACAAATTTTGTAAAATGGCTTATTTTATCCATAAATCTCACAAATGCGCCACCATGTATAAAAATCAGGAACAGAACCTGCAGGGTAAATGGCCAAAACTAGTGGGCGTTAAAGGTGAATGTACCCACTCACTCACCCACTCACTTACTCACCAACTCACCTACTCATTCGCTCATCTACTCACTCACCTCACACACCCACTCACTCACTCACTCTCTCACTCACTCAGAACCAGGATAAATGGCCAGGACTAGAGAGTAAAGGAGAATTTACAGAGGTGAGTTTTAAATACAGACTTAAATATATCTCACAATTGTCTTATTAGCAAAGGCAAAGTGATGTTCCGAAGCTTGTGAGCTGCGCTGGAAAAAGCCTGATCACCCCGGGAACAGAGCCTTGCACTTGGCGTACTTATGTAGGGGTATAGCGCTGGCTGCTGGCGAAAAAGGGTAACTGCGGTGTATGGCTGTACTCGCTGCAGTATATACGAAAGGTCATAGAAGGGGCCAATCTTCACCATCCCGGGGTGCTGTTAGTCAGACAGCCTACCAACTGTTCTAAGTAGTACCGCCGACAATAGACGGTCTTAATTATAAAAGTTTACACCCACGTAGGGTGTGTGTATATATACCTGGAATGGTACATTCTACAAACAAAATGAAGGTACCCAAATGGGTTCTCCCTTATCGCCAGTGGTAGTGAATGTTTTCATGGAGAAATTTGAAACAGATGCAATCCTGACATCCACCCTACGTCCTTCCTTGTGGAAGAAACACGTAGATGACACGTTCGTCATCTGGCCACAATGGTCAGCCAGTACTGAACCAATTTTTCAACCACATCAATTCCATACACCCATCCATCAAATTCACCATGGAAATGAAGAAGGATGGTAAGCTACCATTCCTGGATGTTTTGTTTGAGAAGAGACCTGACGGCTTGTTGGGACACTATGTCTACAGGAAAGCCACCCACACGAATTCCTATAGAAAGCCTGATTACCACCACCATCCAGCCCAGAAGAACTCCCTCATCAAAACACTACACCATAGGGCCCGTAGCATCTCTGACCAGCACCACCTAGCCAGTGAGCTTGAGCACGTACACCAAGCCCTCAAGATGAATGGATATTCAGACCGCACAATCCGTAAAGCAATCACCACAACCGTTGGGAAAGAACCATCTGAGGACCCAACCAAAACTATCACCTTGACATACATAGCAGGGGTCACCAAAAATATTTCAAAAACTTTGAACAAACACAAGATCCAGGTTCGATTCAACACAGTACACAAAATCCGCGATTTGATCCCATGTGCGAAGGATGTAATCACATCCTTCGCACATGGGATCAAATCGCGGATTTGACATGCAATACCCCGGTGTCTACAAACTAAGCTGTCTGCGGTAGTAGTTACATTTGGAAAACTAAGCGACATGTCTCGGACCGTGTTCGTGAACATAAGGCAGATCTGAAACACGGTAGGACCAATACCTCAGCCGTGGCTGATCAATGTTTAAATGCGGTGGGCTCACACTAAATGATTTCTCCAAGATTAAGGTACTCTGCAAACCCACTGGCTATCAAAAAAGATTCGTTCATGAAGCCATCCAGATATATAGACAGACACAAATTCAACCGAGATGGGTACAAACTGAACAATCATTGAAAGAACGTTATTAACCAGTTTACGTCATAACTGGCTGTGATGTTTCCATCCTACCTTCTTATGTTAGCAGTTATTTTCGACTCTCTGATTTAACATTAACAGGTTCACACTAACACAGCCGCCGTTGCTCGTGTCCTCGATGTGGCGGTGGCTCTGCGATCTTACATTGCTAATCTCTCACAATACAATGGCCACCTCCGCGCCCTCGTCGTGGAGGTAGCTCTCCGATCTTACATTTACATGCAAATTTATCACTTTAACATCACTAGCCCCGCCCACTTCGTTCATGACCCTCGGGCTACACCCATTTCAAACCTTTAAAACAGCCTCCCTCAGCAGCTTTCCCCCGCTTTCCTTTTTTTTCTCCTGATGACGATTGCTTGTGTTGCGATCGAAACGTCGTGATATTTTTTATTTTATTTTTATTCACTTGATTTGCATTATTATAATTTTATTATTATTATTTTTCTATCTACGCGACTTTACCGAAAGACCTAAAGAAGATATTGTTCTTCCGTTTGTATTTTCCCTTTCCGTTTGTAAAAATACTTTTATACTCCATGTGATTAGACCTTTGTTGGTACTGTACCTCACGAGCTGCTGAGAGCACAGGGGAGCCGGGTGCTACACAGGTGTACTGTTGCAGGGTATCTATTCTATCCTCTTCTTTAAGTTTGTGTGTGTACACGAGGTCTGTCTGTTACAATAATTTCGTCGGTGTGCTCCTTTTGTAAATTATTTTCTATACTCCTCTTCCTCAAAGTCTCACCTGCACACACACTGTCTAGCCATTCAATTTGTGTGCAAGGTCTAACATATTAAATACTTTTTTGTTGTCTTATACTGCAGGAGATTACAAATTATATTTGTCCCCTTCTCTCCCAGGGAACTTTGTGTGAGAGTATTCAGAAAAGTTGGTAAAAACGTATAACGTGATATACCACCTTTATTTAAAACAATAAATATATTTTTTCTCATTTTTTATGCTTTTGAGAATACATATGATTTGGCTAGTCGCTGTAGAGTATATTAAGTACACGTAACATGTCCACCAGACCCATGGCAACCTAAGCACAAGCTGCAGCAGATACCCAAGGACTATCTTCAGGGTCTGTAAGGTGACCACAGCCACAACAGCAGCAGGTGCCTTGACATGAGTGGGCAATCTTATGCTATGTCTGTAGTGAAGTCCAAATTTATCCATTATATAGGTTTTTTTTGGGTTAGATCGAGTAAATATAAATGTGTCTTTAAACCCGCCATCACCCGAAACAGCCATATAGTAAGGTTTGTCACGTAAACAGAACATGCCAATGTGTTACTAGTGTAGGGGTGTTACGGAAGGACAAACAAACACACAAGGGGTGGTTACGCCCGCACGCGTAAGGGTGCCTACATCCACGTCCGCATCGGTTAGCCCTGGGGGGCTGTAACGGCGCTGTGGTCCCCCACGGCCCCACCCCTCGGGGGGGAGTTGCTATATAAGGCGGAGAGCCGGTGGGCTCGGGGTTCAGTATTCAGCTTAACCAGTGAAGAGTGAAGACCGACTAGATAGGCCCTGGGACTCCCCTGGCTCGCTGTCCTTCTAAGGACCGACCAGGGCAAGCCAGTGGCGTGGCCCCGAGAGCCCAGAGCCGATGCTCTTGTACGAGCCGGTCTGGTTGGCTAAGAGTGCCGAGATCCTAGCTTGGCCAGAGCTGGATCAGCTAGCCTCCCCTAGCTCTCGAGTGGAGGACCTGGGAGCAGGCTAGCCGGGCTAGTGTTAGTGGGGTCTCCCTGTTAGACGGGTGAAGGGGCCATTACCCCTTCAAGTGTTGTATACATTGGCCTGTGTTGAGTGTAAAGTTATAAAAAATAAGTGTGCCTCCAACTACGTCGTCTACGTCTCCTTGAACTCACTACACTAGTACAGCACACCGGTGTGCTGGAGAACAAATACAAAACATTTGCAATCTGAGTACGACGATTAGGCAATAATTACAACGAGCTTCATTAGGCGACAACCAGATTTGTTGAGAGATCCTCCTGTTTCGTTCCTTAAATAGAGGGTTGCATCATTTGAGGAACGGCAGCAAAGACAACAGCTTCATCCGCTTAATTGGGAGTTTCTCCAATTTTTTGTTTGAAGAAAAGTATCCCCCCCATAGAGGTCTACGTGGAAGCGATGGCCACCATCATTCCTGCAACCTCGATAAAATGTGCCTAAGATGAGTGGGAAAGCATTTTTCTTTGTGGAATCTGAGGAAATGGCAAATGCTACTGTGAAGAAGGGGCTGACGATCAATGATTGGCACCTCGCCTTGGAGCCAGTCATCACCTTAAATGTGTGATTGTGACCAACATGCCCCCCTACATTCCAGATAAAGAAATATGGGATCATCAAGTGAAGTTGGGCACTCTCATGTACAATGTGTAATGCGGGCGTAAATGGGCGGGGCGGATATGACGATCCGAGAGGGAGGAGTCAGGGTCACGTGGGGGAGAAGTTATAGCGGGGAGACAGGAAGCTATCTGGGTCAGTCGGGGGAGTGAAGGGTGGTGAACACGTTGGGTGGTCGCCGTGCCTCAGCCTGGTGACTGAGGGGCTCATGACGGCGCCAGCCAGCGGGGTGGAAGAGAGTTGGGGATAGAGCTGAGGTTGGAGATGGCGAGATAGCCACAGAGGCCACGGAGGGCTGAGATTGGGGAGTGGCGAGATCGCCACACACGGTAAGACTCGGCACCGCCGGCCAGCGGTGACCGAGCACGGAGGAACAGGGAGCAGCGGTGGAGCTGCTGTGAGAGCAGCCAGAGGGCTGCACCAAGAGCCTGCAGCGGAGCTGCAGGAGCGCGGAAGGCTACGGGAGCGAAGGCAGCTGTGGAGCTGCCAGGCAGAGTCTCAGGAGGAGTGCCGTGAGGGAAGGAGAACGCGAACCCAAATAAAGGACAGGGAGTCAGAGAGAAGCGTCCGAGTCTTTTATTACAAATGTATAGCCTGTGCCTCTGGGCTGCAAAAATCCTGCATTGAGGCATGTCCTGTCTTTTAAGAGGCAAGTCTACATGCTGGTGCCTAACAGACAGCTGGCGGATGGCTCCTTTGTAGTGATGAATCAAGGTAGGGCCCCATAAGCTATTTTAAAATGCAACCTGTGTAAAGCAGATGAGCATATTTAGACAAAATACCCTGGAATGGCAAAGGCCTAACCCAGCAGGGATGGGACTGTGGAGGGGAAGAGTCACAAAGTGAAAACCCCAAGGAATGGCTCAAGAGAGTAGATTCCAAC